GGCTATTTTTTGGTTGCAGCCGTCATTGTTGTTTGGCGGGTCCAGGCTGGGGATTCGAACCCGCCACCTTAGGTGTACATGGCTGGTGCCTTAGCTGGTTGAGCTATAGGCACCGAGCCTTTTTTGTTTGTTTTTTGGCTGGGGCTGGATTTGAACCCACCACCTCTGGTATATGGGGCTGGTGCCCTACTCCTTTGAGCCACAGGCACCACCCAGTCCTTCAGTTTTGATATTTTGTCCATTAACAACCCTTTTGAAAACACTTCGTAGCATTGAGTTTAGTAAAACGTCGACAGTATTATTTGATCCTTTTTCTCTTTGTGTTTCATAAGAATGACGAACCTCACTTCATAAGTCCATGTGGGCAAGTGCAAACGAGGTCCTGTGGACTTAGCTCCGTGACAGGTCTCTGCCGGGGCTGTGAATGGGTCGGCTTCTTGTTGTGCACAGAGCTGGCAGGTGCTCTTGAGAGATTTGGGCCTGGCAGGGATTCAAAAGCTAGAAGTATTCTATTCCTACCTTATACATCCAAAAACTGGGGTGGGGGTGGGGGGTGGGGTTAAAAGGATGATGGTGATGATCACCAGCACACTGAGCATCTAGGATGTGTGTGACATGCTATCTCCAGACATGTGATGTTAGCACTGTCTGTAGTGGCACTGCCAGACAAGAATGACGTGAGCCTATTTTCGCTCTGCACTCTTGGTCTTTTTTTTTTTGGTTTTTTCTTTTTTTGAGACAATTTCATGTTTGTCCCAGCCTGGTGGCCTGGCATCAGCCTAGTTCACAGCAACCTGAACCTCCTGGGCTCAAGTCATCCTCCTGCCTCAGCCTCCCTGGAATAACAGGGGTGAGCCACTGCACGCAGCGCCTAGAATCTTGTCCTCAACCTTCTCCTCAGACTGTTTCTGGCTCTGAGCTTTTCAAAGGTTGGAAATACTTATTTGTGAGCAGGAAGAGAGAAGCTACTCAGCATAGTAGTTTTCCTATGTAAACGAATATTGGTGGAAAAATAAAAATAGTACATTAGTAAACGCAAAAAGCTACAAGAGAACTGAATATGTGAGTATTCAAGTCTTATGTGTTTTTAAATGAGAGTTTCGATTATTGACAGGGTGAAGATGAAGCCATGTTTGTAGAGTACAGAAAACAACTGAAGCTGTTGCTGGACAGGCTGGCTCAGGTCTCACCGGAGTTGCTGCTGGCGTCTGTGGGCAGAGTGTTCAGCTCTACGCTGCAGTGAGTTTGCTGCGGTTTTTAATAAGCCCACTCTTCACTTTCTGATGATGACCTGAAATAAGTGATTAATGTGAATTACTGATCCATGTTGCTTATTAAAGTCTTAGGTGAATCTCTGGAAACTGTACCTTTCCTTTTTTTTTATTTTTTTGAGGCAGCGTCTCATGATGTTCACAGTACCCTCAAAACTCTTAGGCCTAAGCCTCAGCCTCCCAAGCAGCTGGGACCACAGGTTCCCACCACAATGTCAGGCTGTTTTTTATTGCAGTTGGCATTGTTTAGCAGGCCTGGGCCATATTCGAACCTGCCAGCCTTGGTGTGTGTGGCCGGCACTCTAACCACTGAGCCACTGAGCTACAGGCACTGAGCCAAAACTGCATGTTTCTTGTCTCCTCAATGTATCTTGGTCCTTTCTGCTTTTGTGATCATAAATTTTGTTGCCTGGGAAAATTAATAATTGCTATGAGTTTTTTTTGGGTTTTTTGTTGTTGTTCTTAAGACAGATTCACCCTCGGTAGAGTACCCTGGTGTCACAACAACTTCAAACTCTTGGCTTAAGCAATTCTCTTGTCTCAGCCTCCCAAGTATCTGGGACTACAAGCTCCTGTTACAACACCCAGCTATTTTTGCTGTTTTTGTTAAAGTTGTCGTTGTTTAGCAGGCCCAGGGCCAGGTTTGAACCCGCCAGCACCTTAGCCATTGAGCTATGGGCACTAAGCCTGCTATGGCCTCTCAATAATTAAAGAGGCTTCTGTTGGTATTTTATCCTGTGCTTTACTTGCTGTGCGTTCAGACCTCAGTGACATGTTCCTTGGTAGGAACTGGCAGACCACGCGGTTCATGGACGTGGAAGTGGCGATAAGGTTGCTGTATATGTTGGCTGAAGCTCTTCCTGTGTCTCACGGTGCTCATTTCTCAGGGGACGTTTCCAAAGCTAGTGCTTTGCAGGATATGATGCGAACTGTGAGTATTCTGCATTTCTTTGAAAATTCTGTTTTTGCTGGAAGCTAGTGGGAATTCCTCATATGTTACAGCTTAGCATTTGGTAGTAGTGGGGCATTTTGCTGTTGCAATAAATGAGAATAGTTTTCTTACCTTTCTCCTGCTACAGTTGGTGACGTCAGGAGTCAGTTCCTATCAGCATACATCCGTGACATTAGAGTTCTTTGAAACGGTTGTTAGATATGAGAAGTTTTTCACAGTCGAACCTCAGCACATTCCATGTGTACTGGTAAGTATACATTTTACTTTGGATCTTTGTTTTCAATGTATTTCAGCTAATAAACAGATAGTTTTCTATTTTATGTCATCTCTACTTTTTCTCAGGATCAGAAACTCTCAAAACATAATAAAAACACACCTGTCCCTCCTCTGTTTCTGTTAAGTGGGCAGTTAGTCTAGTGAGTTGTTGAGACAAGTCTTCAAGGGCTTGGTGTGGAGCACAGAATCACTGTGTGTGTATTCCTCGTTCCATTTAGGAGCTAAGAAATAAAATTAGATGTAAACAAAAATGTGGCATGACAATAGCGGTGAAGGCGCTGAGTAAGTGCGGAAATAGTGAGGGTGTCTCTGTTTCTTTAGATGGCTTTCTTAGATCACAGAGGTCTGCGGCACTCCAGTGCAAAAGTCCGGAGCAGGACTGCGTACCTGTTTTCTAGATTTGTCAAATCTCTCAAGTAAGTATAGCATTGCAGCTACTTCTGTGTGTTATGTTTAGCTCTTTATTTTTTATGTTATTAAATAGGCATGTGAATTATTTTCCAAGAGCTGCCGTAGACTCGGTTCTTTCATCGCATGTTCCTTTACGTTAGGACTTCTTTTTCTGCTCATTAGCTAGACCCTTTGTTCATTGCTAAGAAATGGTTTGCATGCTCTTAATGGGTCCACCTGTCATCACCAGTAACATTCATTGCTAAGAAACGGTTTGCATGCCCTTAATGGGTCCACCTGTCATCACCAATAACATTCATTGCTGTAGATCGCTATATGACTGCTTTGAAATCCGAGCAATCTGGCAAATATAGTCCTTGAAAATACTTTCTTCTTTCTTTTTTGGAGACAGGGTCCTGATTTGTTGCCTGGCCCAGAGTGCAGGGGCAGCGTCATAGCTCACTGCAGCCTCAAACTCTTGGCCTCCCAAAGTGGTAGTTAGAGAGGCAAGAGCCACTGCATCCAGCCTGAAAATACATTTTTACCTGAATCTGTCTTGTATTGTCCCTTTCTGGTACATTTTTTGGTGTGCACACTACTCATTATTAGGCCTCTAAGATTGTACATCATCTTGACAGTCGGTCACTAAAGAGCAGAGAGGGAATTTTTAAAAGTTAATCATAGCCACTTTTAATCAGATGTAACCAGCCTACAACTAACTGAACTTTAAGTTTTGTCTTAAAGGAGGATTTGGTATTTTAGCAATTTTTTAAGCACTATTATTTACTTATAATTTTCCTTTTTGCTTTTTTTCAGTAAACAAATGAATCCTTTCATTGAAGATATTTTGAATAGAATACAAGATTTACTAGAGCTTTCTCCACCTGTAAGTACATGACCTTTCAAGGTATTTTCTCCAAATGTCATTGAGTCCACACGTGCTGTATCCTTACTTTTGTGGGAAATTTTTAAAGCTGTTGTGGTTTTGAGAGAAGTGTGTGTGTAAGAGTTTTCTTTACCAAAATTCTGTTGATAAAGTGAACAAAACCTAGTAATAAAAAGGAATTAAGAGCTGACTAATGGGGTGGCACCTGTAGCTCAGTGAGTAGGGCACTGGCTCCCTATACCAAGGGTGGCAGGTTCAAACCCAGCCCAAGAATTGGAGGTTACTGTGAGCTGTGATGCTAGGGTGACACAGTAAGACTCTGTCTCTACAAGAAAAAAGATTGACTAATAAATATGGCAGCATGGGATATGGTGTGATCTTTCTGTAATATTAAGTGCTGGTGAAGTATTTTAGGGAAAATTCAATACGTAAATTATTTTCTGTTTAGTACTACAATTTTATTGGCCCTTCATAGCAACTCCTACTGTTACAATGAAGTTTTCTGAGTCACTTCAGGCTTAGAGTAAAAAAATTTTAAAGCTGATTGCTCTGAATATTTTGATGTCAAGTTTGGTCCATAATCTTGAAAGAACAAAATCCTTTAAGTCTAAGAATTATACTTTTTTTTTTTTATTAAATCATAGCTGTGTACATTAATGCAATCATGGGGTACAGTGTGGTGTTTTCATATACAGTTTGAAATATTTTCATCAAACTGATTAACATAGCCTTCATGTCATTTTCTTAGTTATTGTGTTAAGACATTTATATTCTACTTTTAGAAAGAATCACTTGTACCCTAAGAATTCTTAAAGTCACAATCCCAAAAGATGAAAATCCCAAAAATAAAACTCTGGAATTTTTTTTTGGTGTCAGAGTCTCAAGCTGTCACCTTGGGTAGAGTGCCCTGGCGTCATAGCTCACAGCAACCTCGAACTCTTGGGCTCAAGTGATCCTCTTGCTTCAGTGTTTCTATTTTTAGTAGAGACCGGGTCCCGCTGTTGCTCAGGCTGCTCCATCTCATGAGCTCAAGCAGTCCACCTGCCTCGGCCTCTCTGAGTGCTGGGATTACAGGTGTGAGCGCCATGCCCGGCCAGGCAGAAAAATTTTTTAGAAGACATTGATTAATTTAAAGGGGGATTTATTTGAGAAACATAAAAACATGACAGAATACTTCATAGGCCAGTTGATGAAATAAAATAGGCCATATTTACCTGTAACATTTTTACAGGTGTAAACACTCAGGTCTGCTAATGACAGGACCAGATGAGTTGTATTTATACAGAAATAGGTCAAAAAGCAAAATGTGTTGAATACAAACCACAGTGGTGGGTGAGCGTGTGCACCCAGCTCTATAACTGGTCGTTGTGTCACACAACCTAAGTCTTTTAATAGGGTTCGAGCACCTGTGGTCCCCCAAGACCTGAGATCTCAAGAAGTGTTACCTTTCACTGGAGATGCATGCAAAGGCCATCTGTTGGCTTGTTGAGGAAATGTCAGCATTTTTGTGTTCACACACGGTGTCACAGAGTCAGCATTGTGATATCAGCATTTTTGTGTTCACACACGGTGTCACAGAGTCAGCGTTGTGATGTCAGCGTTTTTGTGTCCACACGGTGTCACAGAATCAGCGTTGTGATGTCGGCGTTTTTGTGTCCACACACGGTATCACAGAGTCAGCGTTGTGATGTCGGCGTTTTTGTGTCCACACGCGGTGTCACAGAGTCAGCGTTGTGATGTCGGCGTTTTTGTCCACACAGTGTCACAGAGTCAGCGTGTGAATGCACTTTGTGGAGTGAGATTCACGGTGTCCCAGGTGGCAGCAGCACAGAGTCCAGCTCTCAGAAAGGTGCCTGTCCACTCTCAGTGTCTATTTTTCCCAGGCCCTAGGCCCACTGGGTGGAGCCCACCGATTCTGTGGGCAGGTCGTCCCCACCTGGTCACTCAGACCCACCACCGACTCCACTCAGACTCGCTGATACCTTCTGGAAACAATTTCACAGACACATCCGAACTAATGCTTTCCCAAGGATTCTTTAATCCACTCAGATCAGCACCTTCTCAGCTTGGTGCCCGCGTGCATCTCTCAGTCTCTGTACTTTATTCCAGACTCGCTTTCCAAATGAACGTGACAGCGGTTCCACTTGACATGATGCAGTGTCGAGCTTACAACCGAAAACACTTAACTCCTTCCCCAGAATTTGACTGTGTAGATTTTGACATTTAGGATTTTAATCTTTCAGGATGACTTTTCAGAAGTTTAGATGATGGGGATTGTAGACTTTAGGAATTTTGACCTTTTAAGATTATGGTGTTCAGGATTGTGTCTTTCAGGATTTTGATCACCATTTGGGGTCCATTTCACTAGAGGGATTTAAGTTGGGATACTTTTTTTTTTTTTTTTGGTAGAGACAGTCTTACTTTATTGCCCTTGGTAGAATGCTGTGGCATCACACAGCTCGCAGCAACCTCCAACTCCTGGGCTTAAGCGATTCTCTTGCCTCAGCCTCCGGAGTAGCTGGGACTACAGGCGCCCGCCACAGTGCCCGGCTGTTTTTTGGTTGCAGTTTGACCGGGGCCGGGTTTGAACCCTCCACCCTCCGTATATGGGGCCAGTGCCCTACTCACTGAGCCACAGGCACCACCTGAAGTTGAAATACTTTTAAAATACATTTTGACAGACATTCATTGAGTGAAAATCATTACTACAGGTGACACTGAAAAGTGTATAAAGTACTACTTTTTGTTCTTTAAGCAAATTCAGTATTTGGGTTACAGAGGTTATACATGATTTCACCGTGTGAGAAGCTGCTGGTAAATTACGTGGTTAATTTGTCTTTACCTGCACACTGGGAGTCCCTGAGCCACAGAGTTGGGTCTGTAGTTTATTCTGAAGTTGAATCTGTATGTAAATTGGAGCAGGGAATTCATCTATCACCTATAAAGCCTGGCTTCCAAGTCGTCTGTCAGGGGGATGTTTGTGACTTGGGGGCTGCCTCTGTTGCAGACACCTGCACGTCAGAGTACTTCACCTCACCTCCCACCCCCGGTTTCTCTGAGTACATAAATGTAAAAAATAGCAAGATTTGTTAATACGGATTAACCAGTGTGTGGAATGTTTGCCCCTGCAGTCTTATTCTTTTTTTTTTTTTTTTGAGACAGAGTCTCAAGCTGTTGCCCTGGGTAGAGTGCCGTGGCATCACAGCTCAGAGCAACCTCAAACTCTTGGGCTTAAGCGATTCTCTTGCCTCAGCCTCCCAAGTAGCTGGGACTACAGGTGCCCACCACAACACCCAGCTATTTTTTTGTTGTTGTAGTTGTCATTGTTGTTATAGCTAGCCTAGTCTGGATTCGAACCCACCAACCTCCATGTACATTTTTATTAAACCCTTAAACATTGTTTTTTTGTTTTTTTTAAATTGAGACAGAGTCTCACTGTATTGCCTTCGATAGAGTGCTGTGGCACTGCAGCTCACAGCAACCTCAAACTTGGGCTCAAGCGATTCTTTTGTCTCAGCCTCCCAAGTAGCTGGGACTACAGACACCTGCCACAAAGCCTGACTATTTTTGTTTTGTTTTAGCAGGCCTGAGCTGGGTTTGAACCCACCAGCCCTGGTACATGGGGCTGGCTCCCTACCCACTGATCTATGGGTGCTGCAAACCCTTAAACATTCTTAAAATATTAATTTGTGTGGCCTTTAGACTAACATTCAAACCTCATGTGCAATAATAAGTAGAAGAGTTTCACAGAAGGAAACAAAAAAGACTAATAATTCTCTTACAGGATCACTTGCAAAGACTTGTCAAGGCTGGAATTAGAACCATGATCTTTTGACCCCTAATTCAGTTTTTTTTTCATTTCATGGTCTTGGGAAAAAGATTTGTCATTTTAAGTACTTAAAGTACTTGATGTGAGTCAATGTGATATGTTACATCTCCTTTTGCTCTTGTGCTTTTTCTGATTTAAGTGAGAGGAATTCAGGAAAGAAAAGCTTTAATACAACTAAATTTCGCTCTAGGAGAATGGTTACCAGTCCTTGCTGAGCAGTGCTGACCAGCTGTTCATCTATGAGACAGCAGGAGTACTGATTGTTAACAGTGAGTACCCAGCTGAGAGGAAGCAGGCACTGATGAGGAATCTGTTGGCCCCACTGATGGAGAAGTTTAAAATTCTGTTAGAGAAATTGATGCTGGCACAGGATGAAGAAAGGCAGGCCTCTCTCGCGGACTGTCTCAACCACGCAGTGGGGTTCGCCAGGTGAGTGGGATCACAGCTGACTTCGCAAAGCATGCGTTTCAGCACAGAACCACCTGTTTGGGTCGTTTAGGATAAGTGCACATGTCTATATTTCCAAAGCTGTATTTTCCCAAAAAATGTCTAAATCTGTTCCTTCTAAGTCCAGTGAATTACAAAGCTTAGCTGGAGAAGGGACTCGATCATGCACCGTGCTGCCTTGGTAACTGTCCAGACCTTTGCCTCCCCGGCTTCTTTGGTCTGTGTATTTCAGGGATCCCTTAAAGTCTCCACACACCAGGGTTCTATTGGGGCATCTTGGGTTAGTCTTGGTTACGTCAAGAGCAAGTCCTGAAGCTTCTCTTTGGTTGTGTCGTGTCTTGAAGACCACCTATGCAGCCGCAGGAGACTCCCCGCCACCCACACAAATAACAGTAGCATGAAAGTGGCAATGAGACTAAGTAGAAGCTACAGAGAAATTGTCCTCAGAATATTCCAGAGCAAGAGGTACATATGAGAGAGGTTGTATAAATAACATGGTTCTCAAGATTTTTTAATAAATTTAGATGGGCAGTTTGCAGTTTTTAGTATAGGCTAGTGACAGTGGATTTTTTTTCTGTTTTTCTACATACTCCGTCAGCAGGATTGTAGTGAAACATTTAGGTTGGCATACGTTAGAACAGCATTGTCATCCTTTTCGGAGCGTTTGAACTTATAGTTTCAACTTCTGTGGCACACTTAAATTGTGTTGACCCAAAAAAAAGGTAAAAAAAGAGTATCCTTACCGTGCTTAGAACTTCTTTGAGAATAATTTAATTTATGATTAATCATCTTTAAAAATTTCATGGCACACTAGTTGAAAATCACTGCATTAGAGGGATTATAGCAACTGCATTTTATTAATTTAATTTGGGCCTTTTTGTTCTGGAATGGTAATTGGAAGCAGAGTCTACAAATAACTATATTAGGCTGGACGCAGTGGCTCAGGCCTGCAATCCCAGCACTCTGGGAGGCCGAGGCAGCTGGATCACCTGAGGTCAGGAGTTAGAGACCACCCTAAGCAAGAGTGAGACTCTATCTCTACTAAAAGTAGAAAAATTAGGCAGGGATGTGGCAGATGCCTGTAGTCCCACATACTCAGGAGGCTGAGGCAGGAGGGTGGCCTGAGTCCAGGAGTTTGAGGTTGCTGGAAGCTGTGGTGCCATAGTACTCAACCCCAGGGTGATAGTGAGACTCTGTCTGAAAAAAAAAATAGAAAGAAAAACAGCCGGAGGTGGTGGCTCACACCTGTTAATCCTAGCACACTGGGAGGCCAAGGCAAGTGGATCACTTGAGCTCAGGATCAAGAGCAAAACCCCATCTTTACTAAAAATGAAAGACTGAGAGGCAGGAGGATGGCTTGAACTCAAAGAGTTTGAGGATGCTGTGAGCTATAATGTTGCCACTGCACTCTCCACGGGCAGGCAACAAAGTGAGACTCTTGTCTCAAAAAAAAAAAAAAAATCCTTGTTAGCAAAAGATAGAAGAAATTCTGATGTGGAAAACAAAAAAAAAATTGGTTTTTTAGTTTTGTCAATTTTTAAATTTGTTGTATATTGCTTCTTGAATGCTCCTTAATTCATTAAAAGAATATAGTTAGATGTAATTGCTTGATTTTTGCTAATATAGTCGGACCAGCAAAGCTTTCAGCAACAAGCAGACTGTGAAACAATGTGGCTGTTCGGAAGTTTATCTGGACTGCTTACAGACATTCTTGCCAGCCCTCAGCTGTCCCTTACAAAAGGACATTCTCAGAAGTGGAGTTCGCACTTTCCTTCATCGAATGATTATTTGCCTAGAGGAAGAAGTTCTTCCATTCATCCCATCTGCCTCGGAACACATGCTCAAAGATTGTGAAGCAAAAGACCTCCAGGAGTTCATTCCTCTGATCAACCAGATTACAGCCAAATTCAAGGTATGGCACAGAAGGGCTGAGAATCTCTACCTAAGATCGGCTCCCTTAGGCCCGGCGCTGCAGCTCACACCTGTAGTCCCAGCACTCTGGGCGGCGGAGGCGGAAGGATTGCTTAAGCCCAGGGTTTGGGACTAACCGGGCATTGTGGTGGGTGCCTGTAGTCCCAGCTACTCAGGAGGCTTAGAACATACTATTAAAGGATGTTTTTTACCTTTACTCAAAATTTTTTTAAAACCCAATGTTTACTCATATAAATTGATACCAGATTTACTAATATAAATTTAGCAGAATTTATTTCTTGATTTACATTTGAAAATATTCTATGGCAGTATTCATTATGAAAATCACTACCTATTTTAACCTGAATCTTAAGCTGTAGGGAATGTGTTGAAATTAATGAACGTGAGGCTTTCAGGGATGTAACGCAGATTTGCTGGACATCGACCCTTGCTGAATGCATTGTATGAGTGTGTACCCTGAGTAGAAGCTCTGGGAAAGGCTGCATGTGGGATCTGCGCACAGACTTGGCGCTGACCGCCGCGCGGCTCTGGTCCCTGACGCTCGCTCTCCCGCAGGTGCAGGTGTCGCCGTTCCTGCAGCAGATGTTCATGCCGCTGCTGCGCGCCATCTTCGAGGTGCTGCTGCGGCCGGCGGAGGAGAACGACCAGTGCGCGGCGCTGGAGAAGCAGATGCTGCGCCGGAGCTACTTCGCGTTCCTGCAGACGGTCACGGGCAGCGGGATGAGCGCCGTCATCGCCAACCAGGGTGGGTGCCTCTGCGCCTGCTCACGGCCACGCGTCCTCAAGACCGCAGACCGTGCATTCGTTTCAGCAGGGGAGCAGTTGCTTCAGAGTTTATATTCAGTTCTTTTCCTAAGGCAGTATTTTAAATTGATTCCTTAGCAGTACAGACACCGTGGTGGCTGCTTGCCGGAAGTGACCTGACCCTCAAGTCTTATGGCCAAGTAGTCACTCAGAAATTAAAAATAAATGGAACTGTATAGATCAATGTAGTGAATTCTACTATACAGGATATCCAAGGGCATACTGGTGTTTTTATTGTTTAACGCACAGTCAATAGACATCCGGGGATATTTGCAGCTCTGTAAATGCTTTTTGACCTTTTTTGTACATGGAATGAGAACTCTGGTGGCCTTTCTTGTTCTTTTTGAAATTAAGCGCAAGTTTTTCTCCTCAGGTGCAGACAATGTAGAAAGAGTGCTGGTTACTGTTATCCAAGGAGCAGTTGAATATCCAGATCCAATTGCACAGAAAACGTGTTTTATCATCCTTTCAAAGTTGGTAGAACTCTGGGGTAAGATAAATTTACTTTTTTTTTTGAGACAGAGCCTCAAGCTGTCCCTCTGGGTAGAGTGCTGTGGCATCACAGCTGACAGCAACCTCCAACTCCTGGGCTCAAGCGAATCTCCTGCTTCAGCCTCCCAAGCAGCTGGAACCACCAGCACCCGCCACAACGCCTGGCTATTATTTGGTTGCAGCTGTCGTTGTTTGGTGGGCCCGGGCTGGATTCGAACCCGCCACCTTAGGTGTATGTGGCTGGCGCCGTAGCTACTTGAGCCACAGGTGCTGAGCCTATTTTTTTAACCTTCATTTCCCAAATTGTTCCATAAAACTCTGTAGAAATGAAGTGGAACCCCAGCCCAATCATGGACGGAAACTGGGAGTTGGTTTTCCTTGGTGATGAATTAATTAACTGACTTTTTACATAAGATGAAAATCTGAATTCTCTTGACAGGAGGTAAAGATGGACCAGTGGGATTTGCTGATTTTGTTTATAAGCACATTGTCCCCGCGTGTTTCCTGGCGCCTCTAAAGCAGACTTTTGACCTGGCTGATGCACAGACAGTGCTGGTAAGCACCCGGGGGGCGGGGGGGACTTGTTCACTTTGCACAGTTCTCATGAATTCACAGCTGCTTCTTTGATGCCAGGTTGATTATATCATTTATTATTAATTTTTTTTTGATTTAGTGATTTCGAATTAGGATTTATTTTTTTGAAGGTTGACAATACCTTCTGGACCTTTTGTGGATTCTTATTGAATCCCAGTGCTAAAGTTGAGTATGTAAAATTTAGCTCCTTACACTTTAAGAACTACGACTCTGGGCTAGGCGCCTATAGCTCAACCGGCTAAGGCACCAGCCACGTACACCTAAGGTGGCGGGTTCGAATCCCCAGCCCGGACCCGCC